TTTTACCTGATATCTAGGTCTTCCAACAATGGAAGGGAATACAGCACGTGGAGCATCATCTCCTGCAAATCCTGCTTTGCACATCCCTGATCCATTATCTACTACTAAGGCTGCTACATCGTCGTCACACATTTTAAACTAAAAGTATTTATGTCGCTCTTCTGATTTTTGTAGGTATAAAAGGAAATATTAATCTTGATTGCCAAAAACAGCAAATAGCTTGTTTATTTGACTAGATTTTGCACTACCTCGACAGTGCATTGACTCTTCTAATATTGTTTCTGCTGAAGAATGGAGCTGCTTTATATTAATGCCCCCTCTTTTACTACCTCTATGCATTCATGCCTGTATATTAAACAGTTTCTTGCACGTCAATGAACTAGTATACATTTCAGTTAACATAATGTGAGCTAATATGATTTAAGCTAATATACAGCAATTTTTGGTTCTAACATTTTTATAATTTCCAACAAATATTCCCCCTATTGATATCTAATCTCTCTATTCAATATAAATGCCAGTTCTTTATTTTCTACATTTGTTATATTTACAGGATAGAAATTGTTAGCCAAAAAAAGAGTTTAACTTCTTTAGTTTCTTAAGAATTTCTAAAATCTGTATGACAATGTTAATCCTATACTTAACAAAACTGCCGAAATGACTTACTACTTATCAATGAAAGCGAAAACCAACTTATGAGTCCATTAAATACAAACGAACTGATAAAATATGCAAAATGATAGCTTAAATAATGATAAAGTTTACATAGTAGAAAAATATGTTATTTTTATTGTTATAAATATGTATATCCAGTTTATTTCAAATTCCAACTTTGTGGAAACATTTCTTATACATAGATGTACATATGTGAGTAATTTTAATAATAGAAACAAAATATGTATCTTACAAATAATTTGTCTTTTATGATATAAGGTATTATTTGCATATTTAAAATACATATATATATATATATATATGTCTTTTCTTTTTCATTAATTTAGCGAATGCTCTAGTTTAAAATGCAGTTCGTTTACAATTAAACAGTTATATACATAGCATCTGTTAAAGAAAATTTCATGCAATTACTAGGAATTTTCGTTTAATTCGTCCTCAAATAAATATTCATAATTGTATTTTAAAAAAATGTGTGTGTATGTGTTCTACAAATGTTTATTTTTATTTTAGCTTTATTTCGTTTCAGTTAATTATTTACGGAAAATAGAAATTTCAGTTTACTAAGTCTTCTAAGAATTAACGCATTTTAGAGATTCACTGTTCCATAGAATGACCACTATACAGAATCTCGTTATAATCGGTGTATTACATTCCTTAATTAACTGTTCGACTAATGTTTATAATTAGGCCGTGAAATTAAGTATCTAGTTTGATTTTAATTTGCTGTGTATCCTATTTTCAATCGTGTTTTAGGGTGGAAAAATGATAAAGAACGTAGTACCAAATTTATTACAAATTATAGAATATAGGTGTAAATATTTTTATCTACATTTTACATGGAGTACTACTTTTCCATCGTTTCTCGTATCCTCTTAAGAACTAAGTTCTTTTTTACATTGACTAGTCTTTAATTTCTGTATTTACAGATGATTGTACAAACATTAGCCATAAAAATATAATCAACACATATATTTTTAATTTATGAATTTTATTTATCCCAAAGACCAATTTCTTTCATTCTTGTTTGGAAATATTTTTCTAAAGCATTAGCACATCGATAGTACTCGGTATCAGGACTATTATACAAGCGACAGTTAGTGAAAATTCGTGTCATGTCTGCAATAAATAATCTTCTTGTAACATAATATCTAGCTTTCAATCGATCGGTCATAGTTTTGAGATCTGAAAAGTAAAATTTTTCATTCTTTCCCCATTTTGTACGATTTATTACGTTTTGAATTTTTCTACTCAATTCTTGCACTCACCCATTGGATATTTAATATGATCGTAATAATCTGGCACTTCATTCTTATCCACAGGCTTTAAAAATGGCCATGCTGTACTATGATTTTTTACGCTATTCAAAACATTTTTTAACGCATTATACAAAGAATCAGTGATATCCAAGCACGCTTCCATTGGTTCTGGCCCTTGAGTTCCTTTAGCTACTCCCCTTGTTCTTGTCTGAGTATAACTTTTCCAACCGGTTTCACGAATACCAGGTATAGATTCAACTGGAATACCCCTAACACCTTCTTTGAAACATGTTAAACCAGGGTGAACTTTTTGTATCTCTTGTTGCCTTTGATGAATCAACTTTTTAATAATTTCTTTCTGTTTTCGTATCACAGCCGTAAATTCAGTATACACAATTTTCGCATTCAATTCGCAATGCATTAATGTTGCTCCTTCATAATCCTTAATATATCCTTGATACATCGACCGAGGTAATTTTATATCTTTACTAAAGCCCTGCTTTTTGAAATATCCGATTGCAAATTCATCGGCGAATGTAAGGAAATGTAATATATTATTTTTTATATGATAGTCTTTAAGCATATTCATTAAGTGTGTACCGTAGCCTTTAACTTGCTCTTGGCTTGTAACAGCACAAAATACTATTTCTGTAAAGCCCTGAGTAGGAAACATTCGAAAACAGATACCGCCAATTGGTCGACCATCCTTTATTAGAGCTAGTGTTTTATGCTTTCTACAAATAAAGAAAACATTATAAATCGTGAAAAATATATCTATTTTATTATCCACATTACTTACGGATCAAAAACTAATTGAGATATGTATTCTTTCGGCATTCTAGGTAATTGATGGCTAAATACATTATGTAATCCAATTAACCAAAGCATTGTTTGTTTAGAAACTGGCTGCGTTAAACTGTTCCCAACCACGTGAAATTCTATAATCTTTCTGCTTTCCTCAATCTTAGCAGTTTCATCTCGTGGAACATTTGGAGGAAATACTGCGTCAGGCCCGCACATGTAATTAGGATCGTTAATAGTCGCTATAATTTCAGCAACTGTTTCTTCTGATAAATCTTCAAAAATTTCTTCATTCTTTCTTCTTTTTACGTCTGAACGACCTTCGGAATGTGATCTTTTTTCATGAATTTTCTTCATGCCAGGACTTATGTTAATTGTTGTATAGTTATCTTTATCATTTGGTGGAACTGTGACTTTTTCAAATTCACCGGTTCTTCTTCCTTGACTTGCCTTTGATTCCAATGCAGATTGTAAATAAGTAGGAGGTACTTGTTTAAAATCAGGATCCCAGATCGGAGAATTATCCGAATAAATCTCTGCCTCTAACATTGATAGGAACCTAAAATTGAATAAATATATTACATATTGCATATACGTTATATATCTCATCGATTAATGAAGTAACACAAATAAAGTAAAAACAGAAATTTTTACATACTTTGGAAAATGTGTTAAGACTATTACTCTTTTCTCCGGTGCTAACTTATCTCGTTCACTGTGACATTTATCTAGCAATTGCCTGGAAACTGGCTTAAAAACAGCTTGGACGAACGTTCGTCCAAAAACTAGAGACGTATCGTAATGAGGTAATGAATCACAAAATGCTGGTATATGACAAAATACAAGCCAACGAGTATGATTAATTTTATATGCAGGAGCTTCTTCTGCACTGATTGTGCCTCTTCTAGCACTAAGTGGATCAAAGTTCCAATGGTTCAAACAATGCAGAAACATTTTAGCCATATCGCACATAGCTTGCATGTCTCGTTGCGGCAAATGACCATATTTATAAGCAACAAAATTCATTACTGCTTTTGCTATACTAGGTCGTTCAAAAGGTGGTTGTCCTAATGGACCTTCTATCATAGGTTTAGTCATAGATTGTATACATTTTCTTAAAAGCTTGTATAAGTAGAAATAAACTTTCTTTGTGTCAGGATCTTCTTCTTTCTGTAAACCTAGAAAAATATTGTCAGCGTCTATAACCATACATAATAATTTATTGACCTCTTCTTCTGATTGATTAGTCAAATGTGAAACATGATTTTCTAAAACATGCTTGCAACTATTACAAGGGTCAAAAAAATTTATAATAGGTTGTTGTGTATCATTTTTAGAAGATTTATTTAGTAATTGAGAATTCTTCCATCCAATGCATTTGCAATCTTCAATTTTACAAGCGCTATATGTTGCAATTTTTAATATTTTTTTCATTTGTGGTAAATTTAACATCTGTTGTTTCCTTTGTTGTATTCTTTGTAAATTATTTTGTCGGCTGCTCTGTTCCTGTGGTCTGACAGTATTTGATTCTCTACTATTTCCTGCATGTTGTGATGTACTAGTTACACATTGACCAGTTTCCTCTAGCGACTGTAAAGTTGAGTTACGATTTCCTTCTTCAGTTGTCATACTTTTCCTAAATAAAAGGGCGAAAGGAAATAATTTTTGGCTTTATATAAAATAAGAAAGTGATTAGCTTTTAAAATGAAAATATGTAAGTAAGGGATGCATCGTAAACTTACACCGCATCAATGACCCTATAACTGTATAAATTGTCAATACATTTAGACTGTTAATAGTAAACAATACTACTATTTTATATCTTTGATATAATTAAATGTTATAAAACTAGAGAAAAGATTCATAAAACAGATATAACACTTATATTTGTATGTAATATACGAGGCTCGACGCTTATTTACATCATAATGAGCATAAAGGTTAGGAAATAAAGTGAAATTAAATTGAACATAGTGCCATCTATTTCACAAATAGAAATTAATCCTCTCTTTCATTCAACATCCAAGAAGGTTCTAAAGCTATCTTCTTGTAAGTACGACGATCAATCTTTATCTTATATTAGATGATATATATGATACAAACTACATTATTTCTGTTATAAAATATTCGAGATATCTTCTAAATTTTATTTCAATTACAATTTCAAATAATTGTTCAAATGTACTATTCCAATGAAAATTTGATAGCGTGTTTTGATTACATGATTCATGCTTGATAAGTCACGAGTAAGTACTTACATACTTACTTAAAAGGGTCTTCGTACTTTTTCGGTTTTGTATTGCAATATCAATCGTATCTTATCTTATTTCCTCCACAACGAGTATTTAATATACTTATGTTTCAAAATTTAAAATAAAGACATATAACGGTGTATATTACGAAAATTTGATATTGCGTTAAAAGATTTCTAAAAAGATTGCGTTAACCATATTTTAGGTTTAATTGTACATCAGCTCAGCGTAATATTGGAAGGGACTTATAAATATAATTGTGTTCTTGTTAGTATAACAAATTACAACGAAGAAAGTAAAGTTGCAAGAATTATGGCTACTTGGGATGGTTCTTATTCAGGGCCAGATGACCAAAATTATTGTCAAATGTATTCTGATCAAAGCATACCTGGGCCTGCAACAGGAAATTGGACATTATTTTCTGATAATATAAATAACGACTATTTGCAACCTAGTCGTGAGTTCTACGTACAAAATGAACCTATATTTGAACAGAATAGTCCGAATGCTTTCTATCATTCGAACGCCAATGTTATGCCAAGTTTGTTGACTACAACCAATAATTATCATGGGCATGTAATAAACCCAGTAGGAAATACACAAGTATTAAATAGTGAGGAGTACTTTCCAAATGTTGTCAAATCTCAACAAGGCTACGTATCTGATGACTCTTGGAAATATGATAGCAATGTAATGAAGAACGAAGATAAATATGCCTCTACAAAGAGAATCACGGAATCTTCAGGCAGCATAGTCAATCACTCAAAATTACATGTCATGGCTGAAGAGTTTGTGCCAAATAATAGAGGATATGGTGATAGAAGTAAAAATAAAGAGTTAGAGAATACAAAATCTACTAATGATGCAAATTATCGTGTCACGGATAACGGCAAGATATCAGATAAATACTACTTTTGTAATGAGAGTAGGCATGAAGGTAAATATAACAACAAAAAATGTTCTAATTATAAGCACAAAGATAGACATCAAGATCAGTGTTACAAAAAAAATGCATATACAAATTCCTATCAACAGCATGTCAAAACTTCTCATAAACTTCAAGGTAATAAATACTTTACTAATAAGTATTATGCAGGAAAATCACAAGTAAATTCAAAAGTTATAAATGAAAATGCATTGGATCAATGTTCAATGACTAATAGTGCTACTTGTAATAATAAAAAGGATCCTGTAATAAATTTGAATAAAGGAGAATCATCATTAAGTATGAATGTATGTTCAAATAAAAATAAAAATTTGTCGAATGAGGTTAATGATAAAAGAACTATCATTGGTGATAATAATGTTGTACAAGGTGATAGCATACAGCAGCCCAAAAATTCGTTGAAGGAATTTACTTACTATAATCCTGGTTTCAAACAGACCTACAACAATCATAGAAATTTAAGGAAATATCAGTATAGTGATAGATATAACAGGGAAGGAAATTTTTATAAAGAAAAGCGACATCACCATCCAGGATATGGTAGAGAAAATTATAATAAAGAAGATAAAATTAAAATAAGAAATGAAATGTGCAGTAATGGAGAATGTAGCGAATATAAAGAATGTTTTAACGAGAGAACTGGATTAGAAGCAAAAGAGATAAAAGAGAAAAGGCACAACTATCAAGGATATAATGGATTTAAAGAACATCATAAGGAAGCTAAACTAGAAATCTTTAAAGAGAAAGATAAAGGTAAATATTATGTGTCTGAAAATAAAGAGAAAGGAAATGAACATTGGAGAAATAAAAGGGAAATTAGCGAAAGAAATAATATTCAGAAACGGGGACAAAATAGGAAGTCACCAGTTGGTACGTATGTAAGTTGGTATTTCCTATGCTATGTTGTATTTTTAACATGATAATAATGCAGTTTTATAATTTTATTGTGCAGACGATGATGCAAGTCAAAGAGAAAGACTAGCAGAACAGTTGAATAGAGGACAATTAGAATGTTTAGTATGTTGTGAATATATTAAACAGAATGATTATGTTTGGTCATGTTCTAACTGCTATCATGTGTTGCATCTGAAATGTATTAAAAAATGGGCAAAGTCATCACAATCTGGTAAATATAATTAGAGTTATAAGCCGGATAATTTTTTTTATTAAAAGTTATTAAATTGTATACTAATAATTCTTATATACTATATACCATATACACTACAATAATTCTTTATATACTATTTATATAGAAAATGGCTGGAGATGTCCAGCATGTCAAAATGTTAACTTAGTAATACCTGAAGATTACTTTTGCTTTTGTGGCAAAACAAGAGTACCTGAATGGAATCGTAGAGATGTTGCACATTCTTGTGGTGAAATTTGCGCTAGAACACTATCCAAAAATAGTTGTCCACATAAGTGCACTCTTCTATGCCATCCTGGATCTTGTCCACAATGTACAGCAATGGTAACAAAATATTGTGGCTGCGGTAAAACTCAGCAAACAGTACAGTGTAGCACTCAGAAATTATTGCTGTGCGAGTCTATATGTGGCAAAAATTTAAAATGTGGCAGGCATAAATGTCAAAGTAAATGTCATCATGGAGAATGTGCAAATTGTGAAGAAACAATAACGCAAAGTATGTAATTTAAATATGACATAATGTAAATTAAAGTATTAAATTTCATTCTGATAGCATATTTACTTTCAGAGTGTTATTGTGGCAAAAGTACAAAAGAAATAACTTGCCAGAGTAATATTTCGTTCACATATTCTTGTGGAACTATTTGCGGTAAATTGTTAGAATGTGGTAATCACACTTGTACAAAATTGTGTCATGCGGACGCTTGCGAATCCTGTTCTTTAACTCCTGACAAAATTACAACTTGCTGCTGTGGGCAAACACCATTAATAGATAAGAGACAAACTTGCTTAGATTCGATCCCAGTCTGTGACAAAATATGTTTGAAAAATTTGAAATGCGGGCAGCCTAGTGAGTATTTCATCTCAAATTGAAGGTGAATGGGATTTTTGATAAAATACAGTAAAAATTTATGATATAATATATTGTCTGCAGATAATCCTCATAAGTGTAAAGTGAAGTGTCACGTAGGGGATTGTCCTGTTTGTGACTTAATTACCAATGTTAGATGCCGCTGCGGAAACATGGATAGGGAAATAGCTTGTAAAGATTTGATATCAAAAGCTGATGATGCACGGTGTGAAAAGAGATGTATAAAAAAAAGGTCTTGTGGGAAGCACAAATGTAACCAATTGTGTTGCATAGAGATAGAACATATTTGTCCATTAATATGTTCTAAAACTTTAAGCTGTGGGAGGCATAAATGTGAACAAAGCTGTCATAAAGGTATTAAATTATGTTAATGATAATATTAATGTTAATTTTGAAATTAAATCGCAAAGATTAAATAAAAATCATAAAAATTATACTGTACGATAAAGAGTAAAAGAAACTAAGATTTGTACCAAAAAAAAGAAAAAGAGTCAACGAAATTAATAGATTAATATAAAACATTATATTAAAATAGGAAGGTGTCAACCTTGTTGGCGAAGTAGTTTTGATGAATTATATTGTGAATGCGGGGCTTCTGTGATATATCCTCCTGTTCCTTGCGGGACAAGAAGACCTACATGTGACAGACCTTGCTCTCGACAGCACTCTTGTGGCCACGAAATATTACATAATTGTCATAGCGAATTAAACTGTCCGCCTTGTACTGTTCTTACTCAAAGATGGTGTCATGGTAAACATGAGTTACGAAAAGCTGTACCATGCTATGTTAACGAAATTTCATGCGGTTTGTCATGTAACAAGCCCATATCCTGTGGCCGACATAAATGCATTACTATTTGTCATTCTGGACCATGTGAAAAACCAGGACAACAATGTTCTCAGCCTTGTACTGTTCAAAGGGAACTGTGTGGACACATCTGTGCTGCTCCGTGTCACGAGGGTAAATGTCCAGACACACCTTGCAAGGAGATGGTTAAGGTAATTGATTAAATATGTTTTCAAAATGACGTTCACGGTTTGATGATACATAAGATCTCTGTATAATTAAGTTTAAAGTTTGTATTAATATATTGGCTTTCTAAATTACTAATAAAAATCTCTTTATACGTAGGTGACGTGTCAGTGTGGGCATAGGACTATGTCGCGTGTTTGCGCCGAAAATTCTAAAGAATATCAGAGAATAGCAAGTAGCATATTAGCTAGTAAAATGGCTGATATGCAATTAGGTCATTCTATTAATTTGGAAGAAGTATTTGGTCAAGGAGCAAAGAGACAGAATCAGTTAAAAACTTTAGAATGCAATGATGAATGTAAAATAATAGAACGGAATAGAAGATTGGCGTTGGGTTTGCAAATTGTAAATCCAGATTTAAGTGGAAAATTAATGCCTAGATACAGTGATTTTATGAAACAGTGGGCTAAAAAGGATCCTCATTTTTGTCAGATGGTTCATGACAAATTAACCGAGTTGGTTCAATTAGCAAAAACCTCTAAACAAAAATCACGCAGTTATTCCTTTGATAGCATGAACAAAGATAAACGTCATTTTATTCACGAGTCTTGTGAACATTTTGGTTGTGAAAGCCAGGCGTATGATCAGGAGCCAAAAAGAAATGTTGTTGCGACTGCTGTAAAAGATAAGGTAATGCACATTTTACGTTTAACTAGCAGAATTGAGCTTATAATTTAATTTTCTGGTATTACGTTGAAATTTATTACAGTGTTGGTTACCTAGTTATAGTTTATTAGAGATTGTACAACGGGAAAATGGTCAGAGAAAAGTTCCAGGTCCAATGTTAAATACTACAAAAGCTGATGGATCCGTGAAGTAAGTAAAATTAAGTAAATTTTCAAAATCTGTCACGTAATTTTAATAAATTAACAATGGGTTTGTATATCGGGTTGGCAACTAAGTGATTGCAGATTTTGTCAATACCACTTAATGACAAAATCCGCAATTACTTAATTGTCAACCAAATATTAATTTCAAATTATCCATTTGTTCTCTTTAGGACAATATTATCACTGCCTGCGAAAAAGATCCAAAAGCCAGAAACAACATTAAGCATAAAAACATCAGAACCAGAAATAGATTATTTTGATTATAAGGGTTAAGATTACTATCTCCGTATTACATAAAGTGTAAGTAATATAAGCGATGAAATTAATATCATAATTAGAAAAAATGCTGTTAAATATAATGGATTAACTAAACATTTTAATAATATTTATTCTTTGTAACACATATACACATATACACATATATACACATACACACACGCGCGCACGCACGCACGCACGCTACCATAATATATGTATACATATAAGTAGAGTGACCCAGATAAATGGGATCACCTAAGCATTTGCCTTATTTATTACTGTTGTATGAAAAAACTTTTCCGTACAATTCAAGGGCCACATGCAACGGTGAAAACAGCTCTATTTCATGGTTATTTTTCTTACAAGATTACAAGTGGTAGACATCACCAGTTTTTTTTTCTTTTAAATAGAACTGTATATATTTATTTTTCCATATCCTTATAGAGCACGAAAAAAACAAATTCAATGACCTTAATAGCTACCTTAATACCGTTTCCATCACTTAATCTTCAGATACTTGCGTTTGAATTGTACATAAATGATATTTAATTATGTTCAAGCGTTTCAATGGTAGAATAAAAGAATGCAAAATTTCCGACTTCAGAGCAGAATTTTCTAACTTTTAAGTTTAATTTATTAGTGCCACACGTCACAACTGTTATAAGACAAATTTTTAAAGTTACTATATGGTATAAGAGTTAATGTCTTGGATTAAAAAATTTTGGTTTCAAATAATCATTATAAATGATTAAGATTTTCTTTACTACCGGTAATCATTATCGATGACAAGAATTTTATTTTGATTGTGAATAATCTGTAAATAGCTCATCACAAGTGGCCGTCATCTGTAAACAGAGGACGTTAAGATCAGTATCGTGTCGAATTTCTTAGTTGGTATAGCAGTCACGTTGGGCCACGAAGGTTCATAAAGTGATTTGTCTCGTGGTATATTTCGTCTGTGACGCAGCCCACTGGCTCGTAGGACACTGTTTTTTACATTGCACGAGAGGTCTATATCTTATCTTTAGTCCATGATGTTGTCATTGATAATATATGTATACATAATATGGTTACATCGATAATATAGTTCCCTTCGTCGTCTGATAAAGTAGGTTACCTCTTTAACTTGAAGTTGGTGCGGTGTGCTTCTTTGGCCTGAACTTGGCGCAGTATAGATCCGAAGTTCGTCACAATCCTGGCCAATAGGGCCCATATATATGAAAATTGAGCGCTCCTATTGGCGCAATGTATTGCGGTGTGAAATCGAGGGTGCCTATTGGTGCAGAATATTGTCAAAGTCAAATCGAGCGCGCCTATTGGTGCGAAATATTGGAAAGTCGTAGTTTCTCGGAGAAACATACCGTGGACTGTGACGTTGTACTGTTGACAATCGTGGAGCGAAAATTCGTCCCGTCGAGCGTTACCCTGTCATTATTAGTACTTTCATTTCAAGTTTACCAACATTTCTACACTTCTATCTGCTCAAATAGTACGTTCGTATTTAATTGCTTATTGATTTTATTTTTAATCACTTATTAATTTTAGTAGAATTAAGTACTCTAACGAAATTTTCTTTTACTTTCATCTTTTTCTACGTATTCGACGAGGTTACAGTCATCGTATTACCGGTCTTTCGGATAGAGTTTGGGTTCTATTATTACTTTATTTCGCTATAATTAGTTTCATTGCTTTAAATTATTGGTTTATTATACATTTATTCTTGACTGTATTTCTGATGGTTGAAATTATCTATAATTCGCATTACCGACCTTTGAGGGAGACTGGATTTTATCGTCGCTTTATCTCGCTATAATTTGTTCTGTTATTGTTAATTACTGATTTTGTCATACATTTATTTGAAATTGTCGTTTTTCTTTTGTGCAGATTATTGGCTGGTCACGCGACTGAAAGGATAGAGGTTCATTACATCGCCGCAGATGCCATAGGCGATTAATAGTCGATAATTCGAACTGATACGAAATGGACGCTACAGATGATTATTAATAATCGAGTCGTTGATTTCTCGTGCAGATTTAGTAACGATCGAGGTATTAGAACAAAGCAGACGTACGTAGACGATTATTTTCTCTTTTTATTGAATCAATGATGATCGATATTTGCTACGTAGTTGCTATACAACTTACGATTGGCATATAATGACATTATTTTATAAATAGTTGCATAATTTGTTGAAAATATTAAGACGAAAGAAAAACCTTAAAGAAATCAAATTTTGAAACTGTTTCGGGTATATAGATTAGACGGATATACTTATTAAGTGATTAATGTTTTCATATCAATATATAAAAAATTATACGAATCATTTGATTGTTATTAGAAAACAATTTGCTGCAAAATTATTATATTTTTATGTATTCGAATGAGAAAATCGGTTTATTATTATTTATTATCGGTATATTAAAGGGTCTGAACAAGACATGTTGAAATAGGTTTTTGTGCAAGATTAAATATACACTCTAATCACTAATCACTTCGGACATGTTTATGTAAGGAAGTTTAATTTATTAGAAGCATCGTCGAATCTTTATACGATGCAACATAATATATTAGCAAATACCATAATTCACACTCCGATAACGAACATTCAGAATTGAATTTATCCTAATGAAATGATATTATATTTTAAAACATTAATAAAGATTGGCAGATATATTAGAAAATATACATTGCAATACATAAACGGTGTTCGAAATATTACACGTATATCCCATTTTCTTAATATGTATATGTAATAGCTGTTTGTTGGTGAGAAACGAATAATAATCGGTATATAGTGTATACATTTCGAAAACCTTGCCCCTATCGTTCCCTGCTAATACAACTTTTCTTCAGAACATATTTTTGACCGCGCGCAATGCGCAATACGCTAGAATCGGTGTTTGCTGCGTAATGACATTTTTTATATTTTCTAGAGCACGGTAGCTGTTGATAGTTGTAAATTCAGTTGAGGAATCGAAGCGACAAGTTTTCAACACTGCTTTCGTATTTTCGAAAACGTGCTTCGACGAAAGGATTGTTGCCTAAGGTTGTTTGCATTAATATTTAATTTTTATTCAATAAGTTAAGTAAATTTCCCATTCACTGTCAATTTGTCTGTTTCGTAATGGAATTTCAATAATCCAGAGAGTCAGTTATTTGGACGAGTCGTTACGTAGGCGCGTTTTCGCATGTTCAACCTGTTTCAGGGAATTTCATTTGAGCAAATCGACGGTGAAGCTGGCCGCGGATGGAGTATGCCATCGTCTCCTGTGTATGACTTTGACCATCGATTTTTCGAATTCCGCGATCGTGGTCGCGAATAGGTTGCCACACGAACTAACAGGACGGTTCGCTAATTTTATAGGTTCGTGTGTATGCCATGTCAATTTAAACTCGGCATTTGACCGCATGGTGCAGCACTAGTCCGAGAACAACCAGGTTCGTGAGCGTGAGCATTCTCATTACCTCTCTGATACGACTGTGATTCGAGGCGATAGGTTTCATAACCTAAGTGCAGTGTGAGAAATATTTAAGGTTCTTTGTAATTAGACTCCAACGTAATTGAAATAGATGGCGGACAATATTGAAAGTAAAGCTACTGTCGCATCGGAAGAGATAGAAGCAGAAGAATGCCAGGAAGATGTTCCAGAGGAAGGAAAGATTATTCGGAAAGACGAAAAATCGAGGCTAAATGTGGAGGTGCTCGATGACGCGGAAACTGTGACGTTAGAACAACCAGTTTATCAAATACGTCCGCAGTTACACGAGAAGTACCTATTAATCGTATCGAAATTTTTTACAGTTGAACTCTATTCCTTTGGATTGAGAGTTTTTAATTGAATTTCTTTTTTAACGACACGACGTTTGTTCGTCAAGCTTTATCTCGTTCAATTATTTCTAACATGTTGCTATTGTTGTTGCTGTTGTTGTTGTTGTTGTTGCTGTTATTGTTGTTACAATCAAGGGGAATACTTTTTTCATTTTAAAGATATGATTTTATACTTTAAGTATATACTTGTAACATAATCTTAAGTATATCATTTGTAAATATAGAAACTATATACAGAGCAGTCTAGTACCACTGTCGTTGTAAATAACGTATGAAATGCATTTTACATGGAATGTAACTTTTATTATTATTAGGAATGGTTAAAACGAGTAATATAGTAGGTCGAATAGTTTGCTAAGCTCTACTTATATATAACGATAGTTTAATGAAGCGTTTCGCTTTTGACTATAACTAAAATATAAAAGGTGAACAAACGATTTGGATACAGGTTTAAACCGTTAAACGCTAAAGAAGTTATACATAATGTGCTATTTGATCAGCTTTCTGCGAAAACTTACGATGCTCAGGAAGCAGCTCAGTGGACTAAAGATATAGCGGATTTAATTAGAGAGAAAGTTAAAGGTGAAATTCTCTTTTCTAAAATAAGTTAGGCGTCGAGTAAATAATACGCTAAGTTTAATCAGCTAATTCAAAATTTCAAATAATTTGTTACGTACTTATTTCTAGAGTTAAAGTTCAAACGTTACAAATATATTGTAAATGTCGTTTTGGGCGAGCAGCATGGTGCTGGGGTGAAAATGGGTACAAGATGTATTTGGGATGCAGAAGCAGATACGTACGCGTATGATAGTTTCTTGAATGTAAGAGTGGCGCAGTTAATTTTAGTATCTTAATTTAGTTTAATATCGATAGTGTATTTGACGGAGAACAAGCGATATACTAAACAGTTTACAAATTGAGTTGCAACATTGGATATCGTTCGACTACATCAATTTTAGAATAAACGTACTCGCAAAGATACGATATATATTATTTAATATACGCGTATAGCTTTTAATTCTTGCGATTATTATAAAAAGCGATTATTAGCGAAAGAAACTTGATAGCAAAGAAACGAATGCACAAAGATAATAACATTTTTTCAGGATACGATATTCTGTGTGGCCACTGTGTACGCGGTGTATTTTTATTAGGAAATGCTTATACGCATCTTTATTATACGTATCTTTGATTACGATACACCAAGTATTCGACGTTTACCAATTACGGTATCCTACGATGGAAGGAAACAAAATCGAATGAAAGATGAAGAAGAATAAAAGATGATCTCATAGGTGGAGTAGTCATTTTATTGAAACAGAAGCTACTATTAACACACACTTTACATCTATATATCGTCTCATGGCACAATTTTTACATATTCGTAACATATTAAACATATCCTGTAACCATGTATTCTAATAATACACAAACTCAAAATTTAACGAGAGCGCATAACATTTACATGTCTTTGTTTACTAAAATTATTATAGCACCATAATTCACGGTATTATTCTATTACAAGAATTTTTTAAACACGATAAAAGAATGATATAGTTATGACTTTCACTTATATTTATTTACTTTAAGATTATATTAAACTACGAAAAAAATGTATCGTCTTATACGTTATTTGTCTTGACAACTTTATCTAAATTCCTTTTGAAATTTGTTGCATTTAAATTCATATTTTCATCCATATTTTCATCCATATTAAATCCATATACAGATAACATTCTGTAAGCGCATAAATATGTAACTGTTCATCGTGATAGATAGTAATAAAAGTGAAAAGACAATCATAAAATATTGCTTTAATAATACAACGATATAAAAGGATATATACTAACGAATAGAGTCTCTCTATCTGATTCTAGATAATGAATATCTTCGATTCCTGAGAAAAGAATTATCGAAAGAAACTATTTCGAATTTTACAAAATTTTATAAAATTTTTAATAAAAGTGCAAAATACGTAGTTTATATAATGATATATTTTTATACATAGATATAATGTACTGCGTACGATGAAACGTAGAACTTGTAAGGAGTATAAAAGAGTATTTTTGTAATAAGGAACGAGAGAGAGAAAAAAAAAAACACATAAGGTTTTTATTCTTACGAATACAGCGGATGATGCTACGCTAAACAAAACCCAGTGTAATACACAGGGTGAATTATAAATGCATGTTCGTACTTCAAAGGGTGATTCTACATACTAAAACGAGTAAAGAACGTCTTATAAACACGTGTATGCCCTACGTACCTTCGTTTTCGGGTTGTGGATGATTACAGCGAGAACATCCTTTATCGTTCATGATGATCTAAATTATGTATTCTTGCGGGACCATTTAAAGTCTATCGTATATTGAACGCGAGTGAACGATGTTGTATAGAATCGTACGGGACTCGATGTTAAGTGGTGCAGTAGAGCGTGTGTCGATGAGGCAGTATCGAGAGTCGGGATACGCGGTGGACATTTTGAATATTTTCTTTGATCGTTCATCGACGCCGAAACTAAGGTACGTAAGACACAATGCTAGTAAGACGTCTTTTATATTTTATATTTTTTATATATTATATTTTAACTTGTAGATCGATCGCTGAAGTATGAACACGCATCTGTGACTAATTCTGTATACAGCAGGATGAGAATTCACCGTTCTCTATAATATCGAAGTAATAACGCGTATTAAAGCAATTTAAACGTTAGTATCGTAGAAACGAAAAAGAACGAAAAGGAAGAAATTTGGACGAGATGTGGTAGCTTTAACGTCTGATTGGAAAAATTATTACACAGAGAAAGTAGAAGTAGAGATTAAGGTAAGAATATGTAGCGAGATTTAAAATGTCGATAATTCGTCGGTATGATTATGCGTAACTAAGAAAGCTTACAATTACAATTGCTACTTCGAATTAAAATTATATCGAGTTTTAATCGTATATTTATTTATCGTTATATATACGTCGTATATATGACAAACGAAGAAGCAGACAAATATTTGCTTGCATTTTATTTCGTAATCATTTCGTAATCGTTTCGCAATCATTTTGTAGCTTTTTAAAATCGTTTCTTACGTTTACTGTTTCTTACGTTAAGGTTGTTCTCTAAATTTTATTCTACGCAAGTGGCACAAGTGATCGATTCTGACGCGCGATCGTTCAAAACACGACTAATAAGTCGCTTAATCAAGATTAATACGTATTAATATTGATATTGATATTGATATTGATATTGGTATTGATATTAATATCGATATAATTTACATAATTACACATGGCAAGGCGCAACAAAGTGGCAAACAAACAGGAACAACAGCTTTGCCGCTACTCGATTTCGATTTACTTTTACCGGACGCTTCGTATTCGTATTTCGCCTTAGCCTTTTGCCATCCTCCCTATAATAAAAAAAGTGCTGATAATCTTATATTATACGTAACACATACGCGATTGCAAGGATTCTCTAAGGGACGATTCTTTACACTTGTTGTTTCGTAATTAATTTATAGCTAGAAAATATTTTGAAACGGATGAGTAAGAAATATAATATAAAATATAACTGGAAACAGTTTGGAAACGATTAGAATACTTTTTGTACTTACACCGCCAGACTGTGACATAGCTGCACTAGCCTCTTCTTTCTTAGTGAATTCTGCTGCTCCGGGAGGATAATAAACCGGAGGACCAGCAACATTTTTACTTTTTACTTTGGGCGGTGTATGGGGTACGAAGTCAACCTCCTTTTTCACCGATGGCGACTCCTTCTGTTGTTCCTTTTCCCTTTTTTCAATGTCTTCCAGGACCTCGCGCTAGAGAAAAAGTAGAGATTGTTTACCATTTAGTAGTATGCAGTCGAGTAACTTTTTCTTACATATTTTTAAATTTCATAAATATACGCGATAGAATTTAAGTAGCGATCCGTTTTAGCCACTGAATATTACTTATTGAATATTAATATACTATTGGACATTTTATGTATGACGTATGTACGAACGGAGATTGAAAAGTTTGGAAAATTTATAGTAATAATTAGGTGAAATAAATATAAATATTTGTCTGTATAATATAGATATAGCAGGGTTTTGGTAGTAGTGCGAAGCAATATCGATCCATCGATGAAACGATTAACTGGAATAAATAGATGCTGTGCAGTTGTGAAACCACGCGATACATAGATATAGAAAGGTTTTGCATAGGTAAAGTGAAAATGTTCGATAATTCGCATGGATAAGACACAGAGGCACGCAAAGCGACCGTACGAGATTCCCTATCACCGACTAGACACACTCGCCGCTTACGCGCGACTAGAAATACTCGAAGAAATCAGAAATGCTTACCTCTGTGTCAGAAAACGATGCCATGAGATCCTCCAACTTCTTGGGCGGAGTTTGCACGTTGTTGTTAGCCGGCTTGTTCGATGGATAGAGCTGAACAGCCTCGGTCGGGAACGGTTTAGGTAACAAAAGTTCGTGGTCCTCGGGATTCTTGTTCGGAGGTATCGACGTGGTGGTGTTGGAATATTTGTATATTGTTGTGGTAGACTGCGGCGGGGAAGTGGGCTGTGCCGGTGATGTATAATAATTAACCGGTGTTGCCGGTTTATCGGGTGTCGGATGTCGTCCGGCGGACGGTGGTCGACTAGGATAATGTTCCTCGATCCGATTTATCGTTGTGCGAGTCTCGTTTATAGTCGGTGGTTGGTTCTGATAGATGACCGTGGTTGCCGGATGATCCGGTGGTCGATCGCCAACCGTATGCCCGTTTGGATAACCTCCATCCACCTGATAGTATTTTTCATTTCGCGTGATCGTTGTTTTATTCGCCAAGGGTGGTGAACCAGGATGATAGACCGTGGTGGTTGGTTGCACGTTGGCCGGACTATCATGGTGTTGCTCGTGATAGAACTTTGACTCTTGATGGATCGTGGTAGATTTCTTTGTCACGTCTGTTACAGGAGGCGGCGGACTGCTGTATCTGGCTGGTGTTCTAGATGAAACGTTCTCGGTCACGGTTTGATAAGCGATGGTTTTGTCCGTGGAGCCAGTTCCTTTCGGTATCGTGTACGTGATAGTTTGATCACCTGGCAGCACAACGGTGCCTGGCGCGTTGCCACCTGGTAAATAGGTTTCAGGCGGTCCTGGTAGCTCGTAAGTGTACGTTTTAATGGTGGTGGTTACTTTGGTGTTCGGACCCGGTGCCAGATTGATCGGTATCGCTGCTGTTGGCGATGGCACTGGTACGTACTCGACGTTTCCATATTCTTGCGCAGCACTCGCGTGCACCGTAGTCGTTACCGTCGTGTTTTGCGCTGGTTCTGTTTGGTAGCCTACGAATTTATCGTAATTTATCGTAATTTATCGTAATTTATCGTAATTTATCGTAATTTATCGTAAAAATAAGTTTTTATCCGTAACAGCCAGATGCGTTTATGCGGTAACGTAAATATTATTTGCAATAATATTGTACGTTTCAACGGTAGTAAAGGTATTGAAGCGGTAAAGGTATTGAAAATCACGTATACGTAAATGTTATTGCAATAATTCATTCTATCGCCATTGATTGCCATCACTGATTGCCATCATCGTGCGAGTGATTTTCATGACATTCGACCAGTGAAACGATACAGTAGGATAATAATGGCAAATCAAAGTATAAAGCGTATTAGCTGAATTTGATAACTTTGCTTCGAAGCGCTTTGACAACTTTCGATAAACTTGTACTTGTCTGCTTTATTCTACGATAAACTTGTTTAGATATACTTACTGGAAGATTCGTGAATATATTTCACATCCCTCTGAGTACCTGTTGGTAAAGGCGAAGTTTGCTTCGAACGAGATACAGAACTATCGTTATACACCTGCAATACGAATAGCCTTTTATACTTTTTATATTTATATTTACATTATTATATTTAAAATATAAACTAAAGAGATAAACTCTACTTACTAGTTCTCTGTTGACCGATTTGCCGACCGGTTCTAAGCCACGGGGGATTGTGCTTTCTTCGTAACTCCTTTCTCGGATATCATCGCTGTAGAATATATCTTATATTACACAGTCTATTATAATTTAGAAAATACATGGCTTTGTTATAGCAATTATTGCAGCAATTATTACAGTATATTGTTGGTAATAGTATTAGTAGCCGTGAAATAGTATTATATATATTAAATCTTTTTGCTATTTCGCTATTTCGCTATTTCGCTATTTCGCTATTTTGCTAGTTTGCTAGTTTGCTCTCGCTTTGAAACAGGATAGTACGTACATTAAAGCCGAACTGGTGTTGGTTAATGCGTTGTCTGCTACCCACGAGTCTGTAATATGAAAAAGAAATTTAACGGATTTCTCGATATTACATCATTTTACGTAATGGGAATATCTATGACCTTGTTCCGTTTTATGTCAAAATAGGTAATAATGTTATATTACTATATACATGTATAATATACTTGATATACTTAATATACATGTATAACGGCGAATAAAATATCAATATGCTCTTGTAAATTTCACGTTCGTTTTATTCGTCGATTCAAAAATCACTTTATCGAAACTTGTCCCGTTTAGTTCCTTGATATATCTAAATCCGGATTTCGAGCGAGAACGAGTTCGTTTCTAGCTTTACGCGTTTTAAATGTAATATAACTTGCCACTTAATCTTTCGACTCTTTCCTTCTTTAATTTAAAAATCAAGATTTTCTAATGTAAACGTTCATTTTCGACAGCTTTTAATAGAGCTTTATTTGATAGAGCGAAAAAGGAAAGAGGAAAGGAAAAGGAAGGATTATGTCGGTAGATTGGAAAATTGTTCGATTCTAAAATATCAAAGTTCTAAAATTCTCGCCTCGTTTCCATTATAATCTTCCAATTTCTCTTATTATTGCTCTTATTATTGCTTATTATTGCTTATTATTGCTTATTATTGCTTATTATTGCTCTTTCGATTATTCGAACGAGTATTCGAGATTACTCAAACACTTTCGTTGAAGTTTCCATGCTAACTTAACGACAATGTCATACGCCCTTGTTATCCAATGACTTCTCAATGACGCTGATTCGTCGACTCGAATCAGAGTTTTCGTATTTCCTCTTTGGCCTTTTATCTCCTCCCTGTGCGAAGTGCAGCAGAGGGACAAGGGAGAAATCGGGTCAATCTTCTGTTATACGCGATCCTAATATGGTTACGCTTGTGTATCGTGCGTTACCGCAAAGAACGCACGCTCTGATCGCAACGTCACTTCCATATAGAGAGACAGGTAGCGCGGAAATCTTCTCCGTATAATAGCGTAGTCTACGATTACGGCTTACCGGAACCTCGGCATTTCAGCAAATCCGCAACGCTGTGTTCTCTTTTGCATAATGCATAAATGTAAAAGAAGCAACGTTTCCCTGGAAGATATTCGTCCTTAAAATTATCCAATCGTCTGTACTTTATGTCAACGGTTTCTGACCTCGTGTGTTTCGTTTTTGCTATACGTTCGTCCTTGCTGGTATACTTGCTTAAAACGCGTATGAAAACGGCCTACCTCTCGATCAACGATAAAATAAGTAAAATATTAGTAAGCAGTAAATTTCGTATACTCGATTTACAGTATACCGACGAAGGATATTTCGAAACTTTTGGCAAACGGATCGAGATGAAATATATCCTACTTTCTTTCCTGGACACTAAGCTGTTCCACGGAGCAAGGCTCCGTCAATATCCGTTTGGCAAATTTACGTAGTTCTTACTCGATGCGAATATAAACGGACAAACAAATAGACAGAACATTCGAAAAATTCGAAAAATTCGAAAAATTAGCCTTTTCCACCACCTTTTAGCTTATTTGTCTTTCCCTTCTTTTTTTATTCGATGCAGACAATACGGACGATTAACACAAAATGATACAAATGATATAATCTTGCATTCGCTTCTGCTTGGTTTATTATACCGCATATATTCATTTCCTTATTTCGAATCGTATTTGGCAGATCGTTCAAGACGATTAACATTGTTTAGAAAACAATGTGGCATAATAGACATAACGAAATTATAATCTTGGTATCTTATAACCTGTTATTAACAATATAGCGGTAACGGTATTACGTTTATTTTACTGTCATTTAATCCTGTTTACAGAGGCATTTAATTGTCCGTGTTGGAGTTGCGGTATTTAACGGCGGATAGAGATGGAGTTGGATGAGTGAAAAGGAGGTGCTAGGCGAGTATCTCGCGGCAAGGAACCAACTTCTCTCGTTTTGTCGTTCTCATTGTTAATTAACCGTATACCTGCAAGGCCGTTCCGCTCCTTAAAAGGAGCGACACGAGTGACCAGCTCTCCCCTTCCTTCTATGTGATCGTTTAAAACGCGGCAGCGCTTGCGCGCGATTCCTCGCGAACACGCCCGAGGGTTCGTAGCGGTATATCGGACGTTCCGTCACAAACGTCCTGCTTTTTACCAAAATCTCATTTCCTCTTACGATTCTCTCTCGTATATCGCCGTTTCTTCCCTTTTCGTTCGTTAAAATCGTTAAAATCGTTAAAATCGTTAAAATCGTTAAAATCGTTAAAATCTTGTTAGAAAACTAAACGATTAATTTTTTATTTCAATACACTTCGGCTATGAACATTTGTCGCCAATTTCAAAATGCTTTTGTGTAATTTATTTATATAAAAAGTTCGTTGTATAGAGTCTGAAGCTAACTATAAAGAAGCATATGGTAGGCACGGGGTAAGCACATAGGTGTTAGCGTAAACTTACCAATTGGTTTTCCATCCACACTTTTGTTATATTGATACGACACCTGTTTATAAGCGATCGTTTTGCTTTGACCAGGCTGTACCTAAAACAGAATCATCGTCTTACTTGAAATATCGTTCGCATACGTTCGATGCTTTTTCTCGATATCGATTGGGAAAACATGATTTGACCGACCAGATAAAAAAATAAGTAGATAAATTAAAATTTAGGTTATTTAAGATAAAAAGTTGCAACTACCGATTTCTAACGCGCGAATATATGCATAATCTACAGGGGGAGAAAAAAAACAGGTCCGTCTACGAAACGATTACGCGTAGGTAAATCGAAACGATTGTCTTCGCGATAATGCCGCGTTGATAGACGTTTCTCGCTTCTCTCGATGACTGTTATAAGCCCTTTAAGTACCGGCTCGTTCTCTTTATTACCCTGTCGATACATAGATGACTGTAATTAAAGCGATATGTCGAAAGTAAATATGTATATCTATTGTATATCGTTGTATTTATATTTCGATGAAAATCCACATTTTTAAATTCACATTTCGTCGATTCCTTTAATTAAGAACGCTGGCAACTTAACTTGATAATTATAATATATAATATGATTACGTTTAACGCTTAATAATAATATATATGTATAATAATGCATTTGTATGTTCCGTATACCGCTTGTAAATGCAAAATTTCATATTAGCGCGGCCGTTCTATGCATCTGTATATACATATATGTGAATGTCCAATTAAAAGTAAGTTAGAACGTGTAAATTCTACGCCAATAAATTGTCATAGATTTCGCGTCTCTCGCGGTTCAAGCTGTTATTTCCTATGCAAATGAGAATAGGAAGTGTTTGTACGTACCTTAAGGACCCGACGGCTGAAAGTTCATCCGGCGAACGTGTAAGATGCGCGCGATAAATTGCACGTGTAACCAATCTACATTTTCATTGTACGTTAGATTACGAACTGACCAGCCAGGAAATACCGCAATTACTCTAGAGTCCCGTGTACGCGTAACAGTAATTTTCCATTTTTTTCATGCTCTTTTAACGTATGATGTATCTCGTAAGATGTCAGATTTATGATACCGCATTCCGTAAGAAACGAACCGTCTTATTTCTTGATCACAGATGCTATCGTGTGTGGTCATGTGGCTATTGTGAGTCGAGTGGAATTTACAAGTTGGTTCTTGCCAACGTAATTGCATCGATGATCGATCGGTTTTCTAGATATTTCATATTACCTTTCAGGAGTAAGATCTTTTCTTCGACTCCTTTCGCGTACGTATGGACGAAGCATCTCGCGATGCAACGTTCTTTATAGTATAACGTTATGAATGAAATATTTCGCCTGCCTTTTCATTAGTTTTGCTTCGTTTTTCGAATTCTTTGTGTCTCGATATCTCTTTAGTTTCGATCGAAGGCAAGACTTTTCACATTTTTTCAGAGAATCTCTAACACACAAGAGTCGAAATATCATTTTCCAAAATGATTAATTCGAGAATATCTCGGTGATTATATTATCGCGTATAATACGAAAGAACGTTAGGAATTTCATCGGAAAGCTTCGAGAAACCAAAGTCATGAAAATAAAAATTATCATACGAAAATATCGTCGAACATGATAATATTAAAAGAATGGAATTTAAATTGGCACTTAAAATGGCATTTAAAAACAGTTAAAAGAACGATGTCACGTTTAAAATCGCTGAAATTTATCGCACAAACTGAACAAACACTGTCAGGAATTCGGCGAATATTTGGCTTTGTTTCATCGACTTATCGTCGATCTTCGTATATTCTCATAGAGGGAAAGAAGAAACAATTGTCGTTAAAACGAGGGGTGTGCGGGTAACCGAGTTTCGGGACGAGCTTAACTACAAGCTGACAGAAAAATTACATTGCCGATCCGAATTACATTTCGGATCCTGAAACGAAGGGTAGCCGTATATATTTACGCGTCGAGGAATTTTCGGGATCCTGAGCCGAATACTTCGAAGACGAAGAAACCAACTGGCAGACTCGACTCGGGAAACATCAGAAAATCGATCGATTATTTGCAATAACTCGTAAACGTTCGGTAGATTGTTCATGTTGATGGATCAAGCGCAATTAAATAGTAATATGGAAGAAGAAATTGTTATTTAAAAGAAATAATTACACGAACCAGCTAGTGAAAAATAGTTTGTACAATGATTCGTTCGTTTGATATTACGTTTGAAATATAAGGTGATCTAACTGTAAGCAGTTTCAGAGTGTACTCAAAGTAAAATCGTATACGAGATTACGGTTCTTTCATGTATAAGACTGATCTCGCTACTTGCTACGATCATTTTAATACGTTATAAGCCTCTATACCAAGCGCTGTACGTAGACATAGAGCCACGCAAACGACGTATCCCGAGGCAAATTTCGAGCGATACAATCTCTTTGATATACATACGTGTAATTGGAATCGGCAAGTTTGAACAAAAGAATATGAAAAAAACAGAAACTAAAACCACGATAGTTACACGTTTACGAAACGGTGCTTCTTTCGAGTAAAAGCGAGTTGATTTAAGCTTTGGGTATATGCGATTTAACTTGCACTTGCGATTTAACTGCCTGCATATTGCATATAATTTCACGTCAAGTAATCTCCTTCTTTTCATTCATAGCAACGTTATGCAACGCGAAGCGTCTTGGCAATTTCGTAACATATATATGTCGATAATTGCATAATAAATGTTGATTTAGCAAAAATTCGAATGTTCAAAGGGTTGCGTAAGTGTCGGAAAGATCGAAACTACACGTTGCGACATCTCTTTTATCGTTTGTTTTTTTATTCGTAAGTTCTTTTTTCCTTTTCGGTAGAGAAATTCGTTAACGAGCGAAAGTTTATTCAAAAGTTTCTATCCTTCTTGAAGGTAATCGTATAAAGGTAATTGGATTATCCGAAAAACGCGTTACTTCGAAGGATTACAGCTTTTATCTAGTAATTTGTCATTACTATCGCACATTATTAGCTAGTGGAGCAACAAACAGAGATACGGTTCACGGATTATCAAAATATCCGAGTTAATGAAAAGAAATGTTCGTTAAGATAGAAATATTTTTATTTTCGGTACAAATATATGCATACAAAAATTAATAAAGCTGAGACGAATAAGTATATATGAATATAAGTATATATGAATATATGAATATATGAATATATGAATATATATATGTAACTTACATTTTGCAATTCCGAATCGATCAAGTTCAAATCAGGTATACCACTCGGCGCACCACTCGGCCCAGTGCTTACATATTTTTCGGTGGTGGTGGTCATGGTTCTAGTGGGCGAGATGGCTCTAAGGATAAGTCGAACTTTCAGTCGAGAAAAGGCAAGCTATATTCCGTAGATTCCAACACTGTTTAGGTTTACTTACCTGCCTTCGGAAACCACCTTGGTGGGATTTGCAGCTACGCGATACTCTACTTGAGGCGAAAGTGCCCTGCCGCCTCGGCTCGGGGTGGCACTTCTTGAGACACTTGTTTGCAAGTCCTCGAGAAGAGCGTCTGAAACCATGAAATGTGTGTTCCGCCGATTTTGTATTTGCAATAACGAATGCTTATCGTTGTAAACGAATACACGGTCGAATAATTACGGTTAACCTAATTTTGATAATACGAAGTAGCGTAGAATTTTGGCGCGAACGACGTATATCTTATCATAAGCGAAAGTATTATAGCATATCACGTGATTTTGATATATTCAATCGTGACAAATTTTATTCATGGTTCGATGAATGGAGCTTTTCGACGCAAATAGATGTTTATCGTTCTGAACGAGCAAAGCTATTTTTGCCGTTGATATCATTGCAGTAGTGGTGTGCAAGTTGTAGAATCGCTTAAAAATTATGCGACATCAAGATACACGGTATATAATTTAAGATGAGAATAGTAATATATGCGAGAGTCATTGAGAGACATAGATTATCGTTTAAATAAAAAATAATGGATTTCGGGAGATGATAGTTTTTAGATCAAAGGTATCTTGTCATTAATAGTCGATTAATAGTCAATAAATAGTAGTAATGCGCATTCGCTAATAATTAATAACAATACATTTGTTTTCCAAAAGTCGATAATTAATTTAAAAACGAAGAAAAAAGTGCAATCAGTTTTTCTTACGGTGATAGAAAGAATCCTTTTTTGCGATCCAAGCAGTGTTGCGACTGTGCGATATGAAATTATCGAAATTCACGAAATCATAAGAGAGATGCGTAAAGAGAGCAGGTGGGAAAAGAACGATTCAAGGATAGGATTACGATTAAAGGTTTACCTAAGTTGTTTTCGAGGCTGTTGGCCGTGGTTGTCGACTGACTGTGGCCCGATATAGGACTGCCATGACTCACTATCTTTCTGCTGGTGTGCGTTGTTGTTCTCTCCCTCACTGCAGCTGACATTGCGTTCTTCTCAAGTTCCCTGCCTCACGAGATCTGAACAACGATGTAAACAGAAATGAAAAAAAGAAGAAAGAAGAAAGGAGAGCGAGAGAGACAAGAAAAGAAGAAAAGGAGAAAAGGAGAAGAAGAACGAAAGGAGGAAGCGAGAATTACGGTGAAGTTAAAAATATTACAAGCTAAAGAGAAAATTATATCGAAGGAGATCGTAAATCGCGTGCATTACGGGCGCTGGTTGTCGCTCTGATGTACGAAGTTAAGTGGTTGCGAAATTCCCGAATATCTCTGCCACTGGCACTACGCTATTAGCATGTAATTGGAGTGATGGTGATTTTATCATTTATTTTATTATTTTTATTCATTTTTGTTTAATTTTACAAACGTATCGTATCGACAGATTGCTCTTCGCGGATCGGATTACTCGAAATCCGGTAGAACTTTGATCTTTCGTATGGTAAAATTACGATAGGTTCCTGTCTAACGATATAGTTGGATACGATAATTACGATAATAATGCAAAAGTCAGTACGAAAAGTTAGAACGATGAGACGATGAACGTATCGATGGATATGCCGGATGAGTCGCTTAAATTACTCGACCTCGATAGTTTTTTCACTTCGCGCTCGATGCTATTTCGAATTACAAGGTGAAATGTTACACGTTACGTTTAAAAAAAGGCAAAATATTCCGAGAAAATCTGATTATTATGATCGTACATCTCGATGTTATACGACTTTGATTTGAAATAGCTTCTCGTGTGTCACGATCGTCGATTATTAAAAGGACGTCTCGATCAGCGAGAACAAGAATATCTTGGTAATTCCAATCGAATGATATCTCATTTTTGTAATTATAAGACAAATTGCTCTTCTCGCTGGCTCTTGGCGTGCTTCTAATACCGCTGATCGTAACACGCGTAAAATGCGGTTTAGTCATATATAACGGTGTAAACGAATACATAAAGGCGACAGCGGCTTTTAGATTCTTCGCGATATCTAAACGTCTCTTTGGTATACAAACGGTATTTAATTAATTTTCTTTGACCTTTGATTAATCGACAGGATTGATAGAATGTGACAGGAGTGTATCTCTTCGTATATTCGAAGAGACGTATTTTCTAGGAACAGCGAGGCGAACGATCGTCCGTAAGATTACTATTTCCAACGAAGATCGTTGCGTCAATTAAACGGTACGTGACGCGATACGAAAATAAGTGCAGCCCTGATAAAATCTCGTTCAGCCCGGAAGCTTGGAAGCTTACGTAAGCTGTATGCGACCCGTTGATAATTGGCCGATGATGTTTCGCGAGAACCAGGAGCTGCGACTGTTCGAAATCTGATCGTGATAAATTTAATACGCGTTTAATTACGCGACAAGTATTATCGGTATAGTTTGCCAGAAAGGTAATGCAAGCCATAGGATCTGTTCGATCTGTCGATCAGCTTGTGCAATCTAAAACTGTGTATACTTGGTGACGGGTCGTGACTACGAGTAAATTTGAAAAGGTAAGGTCTGCTATCGCAAAGGTCCGTTTCCTTCTGATAGCCGGGCCACGATCGCTGAAACGAACGCTGAAACGAACGCTGAAACGAACGCTGAAACGAACGCTGAAATCCTGTTATTGGTACTCGTCCGCGCGTCCAACGCCACAGTACTTCTATTTATAGAGGCTGAACGTTTATAAATATGGGAGATTCGAATAGATGGAGGAGAACTGGATCGGTGGAGGCGCTGGAACTTTCGCGGCTCACTTGAACACCTGAAGCCGGTTTAACGTTAAATCCAGCTGCGAGCTAGGTTAGAGCAGTGGCATTTTGAATTAAGTGGGCGCGCGTAATGGCCGGCGTTCGCGATACAAACCTGCAAACGAAGATTTATTTTTGTTTCGACCGTTCTTATACCGTTCCGATGCTCGACTCGGTCGTACGCGTACTTACGTGTACGCCTGTCGAGCACGCAGTTTCGAAAACTAGTTTTGTAACGCGCTATTAAAAGAGGTATAACGATCGTAGTGTGGGTTGATCCGTGATACTTAGTTTCGATCGGACGAGCAATACGATCGTTCTGTGGATCGATTTATGCGAATCGTTCGCGCGATGAAAGGCAAAGTTGAGATTTTAATAACTCGTATACGTTTCTAAGGTATACGTTGCTATATCGTATTTGAGTTTCAGGAAGACGATCAACCCTTTCGTGCTTGATGTTGCGCGTAAGCATGAATCGATTAAACGACGAATATGTCGTTACGGCAAGACCAGAAAAATGAATTTCTATTATCGATAATTGTCGAAAGATTTCGTCAGATTCGTAATCGTATCTTAATCGCGATAACGAGTAAAAATATTCATCCAATATCAACTACGTAATAAATGCGCGTAATATTTTTACCACTGTCCTGCGAATATTTCATTTCCCAACATCTTCTGTTACAAACAGTTTCCGTAAAACACATCTTCTAGAAAAGTTTGTAATTTTCGCGTACGTTGCAGCAAATACAATCGTCGTACGAGAAAGCAGAGTTTGCAATATTATGTAAGACAGATACTCGATTACAGAGTCGTAAGAATAATATATCGAACGCAGATCGAGATGCGCATCTGTATGAATTCTATCGTACGCGTGAATTATATCAACGAACGTCGTACAAGTACGGATAAGCGTAAGGCTTTTACTCTTACAATCGACCGCTTACCGATCGAAAAGATACTGCAAACGTCCTGTTAAATTGTTCCATTTAAGCGAAACGGTTCTATTTAAAGCACGTCTGGGACGCCATAGTAAGCGGCAAAAGTATTTCCACGGGAAGCGCCAAACGGTCGGTTGTTTTATTCCGGCGGAGACATCGATGCGAATGAGGCAAAGGGGCCAAGGAGTTCTTCCAAGAATTGTCCGTAGAGGAGAGACACGCTCGTACGATCCCCGCGCTGAAACCTTGAAACGCGAACCTCGACAGTTTCTAGAATTTGTATCCCTCTAACCAGTCTGACGGACAAAACGTTTTTCGCTTAGGCTAGCCCGTGATTAAACTCGCAGATTTTTTTTATTATCGCGTCATAGACCGTTCATTCTTATTAGCTTCTAACGATCTAGCTTATCGCAATGGATTTTTAATTCTCCCGTTCACACCGATTCGCACATTCAAAGTAGTATTTATTTTTATCTTGCGAATGATGTACTCTCTCTCTCTCTCTCTCTCTCTTTCTCTCCTTCTCGTTTTTAAGTTTCTAAATTTCTGTAAAATTTAAATAACGGTCTTTCGTTTCGATGTAATCGAGTAATCGGTTCGGAGATAAATCCACGCCGAAAAATATATAATCGAAAATTCTTATTGTTGTAGTTTCGCTGAAAATTATACAACTACATGCACGTTATTATACAGCGTTAACGTACAAGTTCAGCGTGGAAGCTGCGCGAAGAAAAATCTATTATATTCCACTTTGATGTAACAATTATGCGTTAGAAGATCAATTACTATATTTATTGGAGCGTACGATTGGAAAGTTTGGATTTTACAAAAAAAAAGCTGGTTTAATATGAAACTGTGAAAAAGCATATAGTATCGTATATCGTATTTTGACCAATTACACGAATGAAAGATTTATTCTTTTTATTCTGCTAGGTCTAATTTGGATACGAGTATCGTAACTTGCAAAGCAAGCTATCCCCTTTAATTATGCTTTGATTATGTAATTAGTCAAATGAACGTAAATCGTAAATAAATTTGTATTCGTATTTGCGACATTGCGAATAAAATGATTTTATGATTTTGAGAAAGCTGGTATTTCGCGTGAAACGATTTGATAAATAAGGGCGTGCTTTATTTAAGCGAATATAAAACACGTGTAATTATACAGCTGGTTGTACAGATGGCTGCACGATTTTAACGATTTCGCCGTTACAGACTCTCGACTTCACAAATGCCAAGTACAAAACCAGATTAAATCGTCGTTGCTGGTTGCGTCGACTTTTATCGTTGTCGAGAACGTTCTTCGCATCGTATCGTACCGTATCGTTCAGAACGAAGTAATAAGAAAAATAGGTGATCGTAATTGAAGACGAGCCGACAAAATACGCTACATTTCGAGTAATCTCGGATAGTTTCGATATCGCAAAGAAAAAACAAACTTTACCAACGTTCGACTTTTCTCGTACTCTTAATGTTGCTAATACGTTATGTACCTGTCGATCTCTACGATAAAAATAGGAACAAATTATAACAGTAAATGGATTAAAATCGAATATCACAGTGTAAAAGGTTGATACAATGTAGTTAAAACGATATGTAACGTGTAACTAATGGGTCTGAAACAGTTAAATGGCCTGATCTAAATATTGCAAACGCGCGAAAACGAACGACTTGAAAACGAATAAATGGAAACGATTTGAAAATAAACGATAACTCCACGATAGACGTAATTTTTTTTAAACGTAATAATACCTGTGTATAGCTGTATGTACTGTGTATTCATTGCTCTTTGTCTAAAAGCTTGGTTTGAAAATCTTTTACGGTATACGTTTATACATACAATATATATATATATATATATACACATAAAAGTTTTCTATGGGAAACGTTGGAATACTTTTGTAAGCTGTTTCGGAACTGTTGTACAAAAATTCAAAGTACGAAGTACACCGTCTGCGTAAAGGTTCATCGTTCGAAATTTCTAGCTTAGCCTTCAACGACGATAATCGCTCGATAATGGCTTTATGCTGTCTCTTTGTACGACCCAACTTCGCATAATCCGATCTTTCTGGTCTAATTTTAATTTGGCTGCATCGATCGCAGTCTCGAAAGCAAGTGACAACATTTTCGTTGATGACTCGCTCGCATCGAGTTTGCTCGATGTTCTTGTCCGCGTTCTTGTCGACGTTCGATGGCCTTCGCCAGAATGCGGTTACTCGCGTCAATGAAACGATCGGCTGCTAACGTAATAGCGGACAGACACGATCGAAAGGTAACCGATCGATCCATTGACGATAGAATAGATCTGTTGCGTATCTTTTACGCGAACGGTAAAGAAAGACGCGTAAAGTGACGAAACGTTTCGCTGTTTCTTGCTTGAGAAATTGTTCGAATAGGAACGTTCGAATAATAATAACGATGGAAGGAATATTTTTAGAATTAGCAAAAGATCAAACAAACACTCTCTTCCCATTTGATGCTTCGTTTTCCTCGCTTTTCTATTTCTCGCGCAATTTCGCTTCTCAAGCGAAGAAAAGAAGTTGAACGAGAAAGTGAAGGCTATCTCGGTACCTATGTACACGCGTAATTTATAATTTTACCGTAATGGAAAAATTCTGATGTAAAAACTGACAGATATAAAATAAGAACGTCGGGACGAATCAAAAATTTGCAAAACAAAGACCGAATTACCTAACAATTGGCGTACACCGTAACAAATTACCGAAATCTTGATGAAACGAACAAAGATACACGTAAAATTATTATTTAAAAATATTACAATTAGATTTTGTTGGTTTGATCGACGTAAAAAAGGTTTAATTTTATCGCTGATCTTACAAGAAGTTACATATGGTGTAGAAATAGAAAGGAATATTTTTAAATAACGTCCTTTTGATTTGTGAATTTTTCGGTTGAAAACAGTCGGAGAGGAAGCGTAGTTTGACTAGCGTAAATTTAACAGCGACGTTTGACATCACGCGAGCGGCTATAGTCCAGCCAACTGGCGCTCAGAGTTTCGTTCTATTTTTCCTCTTTTCTTCTGTATCCGATCCAGCCAGTTCTTTCTTTAACTCTTACCCGTAAATACAACCTAGCAACTTTTACAAAAGTGTAGCCACGAAAACCACCGTGTGAATTCTTTAGTCGCAACCTTTTTTTAGTCGAAATCTTTATTTAGTCGCAACGTATTTGTCGTGCCGATATCCTACGTTTCGGAACGACATTCGACTATCAGAAAATCAAAGTTTATCCCCAACTCTGTTACAGTTTTTTTCTTTTTTTTTTTTAATAGAAAAAATCCGAATGCCGTTGCCTGTCTTGGCACGAGCCAAAATGATTTTCATTCGTAATCTTATTTCTCTATCGATAAGATCGTACAATTTTTTAAATTTCAAGATAAAATAGAAAAGTACTTATCGACGTGTATCTATACTCGCATATTTCAATGTTAAGCATAAAGATTTTCTCAGAACGTTAAAAAGCCTCGTTGCTCGCTGAAACGAAAGTAGCACTGAAACACGAAAATTCGGGCGGAGCGTTACGCGGAGGATTAAAGAGCTACGCGACATAATCCTTGGGTAAATTTTTCTTCTGAAGGGGCAGAGGGGATGGCACACTAGGCTCGTAATTAAAATAATAGACCGATACATTGAAAAAATACATCCAATTTCAGTAGAAATTAGTTTCTATTTAAAAGGAATTCTGTCGTACGAATTTAGGTATCTAATTTTTTAACGTCCTCTTTTTAACTATAGATTCGAAAGATTTTTCGTCGTAACGTCGGGTAATTTGGAGAATGTAAAAGAAGACGAACAAACGAACGCGTCTTCCTCTATTTTCACTCGCGCAACCGTCAAGACGGTGCGACAAAGACGTTCTTTGATCGCGGTCATCTGCACTTGTATCGTTAAATTAACGCGCGAATATCGCATTATATTTTGAATAGAACGTAGCGGAATACGAACGACACGGAATATAAAAATATCGTAGAAAGGTGACTGAGAAATTTATGGACGATCCGGTTAGTTTCGGCCGCGGACGTTATATTTTTCCCCATCGATAAATCCGAGGTAATCGCATCCGTCTGCGACCTATCGAATCGAAAATCCGTCGACCGTACTTTTCTCAGGAAGCAACGCGACGACTACAGGAAAGATAAATTGGCGAATCTACGTTTATTTTCGGCCCACCGGTTGCCTGGTGGCGCGAAAGTTTACTTTTATAAACTACAAGCCGATGCGTGTTCGCGCCGGTTTTTGCTTGTCCACCGTATTTTCCCGGATGATCGAAAGATCACGTATCGTTCGCACCGCATTCGTCGTCGTATCGTCCGTTTGTCGTCGTCGACCTGTTCGGCGCGACCGCGAATATTTATTGACTCGTCCGTCGACTATAGTCGACGCTCCTACCACACAGGTTACACGTATATTAGATATATTATCGTCGCTACAAGTACCAGCACGGACACCCTTTACGCGTCCGCTGGAAAACAAATTTCATCGTATGTCGCGTTTTACGTTATTATATCGCGTCTTACATCAGTAACGTTAAACGTTCGTTCGTGGAAATACCGCTGCTCGATGTCGAGGAAGAGACAATTTGACGGAAAATGTGTAATTCTACGTGGAACGACGAATCGTAAATACAAAGGTTGTGGTAAAAAGTAAATGTAGAAAGCACGTAGTAAGGTGTTTCTATCGATACCACTGTATACCCGATCGGTGGAGATTCGTAAAGGAATTCTTCTTTAATTTCTTCATTCTTGAATTTACTCGTCGTCTGTTTACGTTTATATTGGCGATTATATTGGCGATTATATTCGCGTTTAACGAGACGGTAGCGTACTATTTACGAAGTAATTGCAGGTAATTACGGGAAATCACAGGTTAGCTCGTGAAATGTATCAAAGTAGAGTAAATGTATCGCATAATGAAAGGATGTCTGCGTGGAAACGTGCATTCCGTGACAATGCGATTTTCAGCGGTTATGTAAATAGCAATTTATCGATGGAAAATTAATATCGCGACATCTGGATTCAGCTCGACCTCGCATCGATTGACACAAAGAAGAACAGGTTAATTACCGTTTTTGCTCGCGTCTGTCCACTGTTTCACTTACGTAAAACGGTTCGTCGAGTGGGTATCGATCGTACGACGGTGCGAAGAACACGACGAGAATGTTTCCAACTTCTTACCGTTGAATGCTACAAAAGTTGCAACGCGAACCACGTTTTCTGAAACGCGCGTTATCTACGAATGAGAGTAGTTTTCCGCAGTTTTCAGTCTGGTAGAGACGTAAAAAACCCATCGAAAAAGAGAAGAGGAAAATAGAGAGATTTTATTCTTTAGGTGCGAATTTACGACAACGATCGACGAAAAACGAAGACATCGGTCGAGTAAACCGAACGCGAATATCGTTATTAACGAATATGAAAGCGTATGCGCGAGCTGAACGCTCGGTCCTTGAAACACACCTTACATGGATGAAAGATCCACGAAGACGAAAAGTGGGAGTCGACCTTCCGCCCATCCATCGAGAACGATCATCTGCTTACTGGGTTACGTGCGCCGCGAACAACGCGTAGTAAACGTAGCCTGATCGCCAGCATGCCTATAATTAACAATTTCCCGTGAAATATCACGCGCCTTGGCGAAGCGAACCTTAATTCTCAGGCGAACAATAACGGCGACAGCTTCTAATCGGAAAAACGTTGTTACGTAAAATCCTGCTATCGATGGCGATCGTTGGAAGATCGGATTAGCTTCGACGCGTTAATGCGGATAGCGCTGTTCCAGCCGGATACCGGCTACAGAAGTGAAAGCGATCTTGAAACCTCTACCTCGCCAGAATTGTTACTTTGGCGATAAAATTACGTTTGTATTTCAATGAACGAGTCGGTATCGATCGCGAAAACATCGTCCAAGCAGCTTTTAACGATAATAGCAATAATTAGAGAAACAAATATCCGAAACTCGTTTTAACAAATAAGCTGGTTGTAGCGTTGGATAATGTTATCTCGGAGTCAGCCTGCCAAGTAGCTGCTCTAAATATCATCCGCGTATTAGGCGTGCAAAGAGCATTCTACGCTTTCGCGATCGAACTGTACATTTTTTAAAATAAAGTAATTTCAGTTACTCGATGTGTTCGTTGATACGACAATGAGATTTTTTCGCGTCTCACACTGATTCGGTAATTATCGCAGTTCTCGAATCTTGCACTTTGGTAAGATCTTTGTTAGTACGGTAACGGTAGTTTTAGCATCGTTACGCTCGTAAATACTTCAAAAATTCAGCGTCAACGTTGTAAACCCGCCAAAGAGTACGAAAATACTTGTGATTTACGATTAAGAAAGGCCGATAGCCATTCATTTGCGAAGCTATTTGCGAAAGGATTTTCGAATCGAAGGAATCGAATAGAAACTAAACGTACACAGGATGCATGTATAGGTCGGTGATGCTCGAGAAAATAACCGGTACGATTTTTAAAAGTATCCAAAGTAAATATGCTGTCGATAAATGTATCGGCACGCGTACGTATATTCGACGTACCACCGGTCCTAATATTTACATTGACATAATGCAGCGGCCGATATTCCGGGGTTGGTGTGCAGCAATTAATCTCGTCGCGTGGAAAAACTCTCGAGGCCTTTGAGAGGCTTGAACACGAACAGTGAGCGTCGTTATGCCTGGCGTGCACGTCGATGGTTGGCGCGTTTCACGTTTACTCGTGGACAGATGTTTCGAGAACGTCCGTTTGACGTGATGAACGAAAAACGTCCATTTGAATTTCATTCGTCCCCTTTAAACGCGGCCAAACACAAAAGGGAATGCCGCGAATTTCGCACGTCAGAGATGCGTCGCGTCTATTTTGCAACCGTGACTCACGGTATACGTTTCCTTGGCCGCCGTGCTCTTCAACGTCGCGTTTAAGACGCTTCTTGCCGATCGGTCGCGAGTCCGTTAATCGCGAATCAGAAATATACGTTGAAAGGCGGTGCCAGTGCCAACGTGATCATACGGTCCTTATGTCCTTTTCATTTTCTACGTTCGCATCGTTTTCTACGTAGACGCGTAATCGTCGTTTAACGTCGCGAACGGTGTTCGTAAAAGTAAAGCTTAATTGTTTCAGACTTTCTATGCTTGAACGAATCTAACGAGAACGAGTTCTACCAAGATCGTAGAAACGTCCTTTATGTATCCTAATAAAATCGGGAAAACGGCGAAAACGGGGAAAGATTTTTCTTTTTTTTTTTTTTGTTTCCCTTAAAATTATAACTTGCCAAGGATAAATTCGTTTCGGGCTCCGATGGCGCATTTAATAACGCATAGGCCGATAACGCGCCGACAAAGTACGAAATATTGAGATAGATTGAATAATTCAGCGCGAAGCGAGCGCAACGCGTTCGTCATTGTATGCAAACGTTATTACCGTAAGGCGGCACTTATTTTGCCAGTACAAAGAGTATGATTATCTTCGTACCTAATTGATACATATACGATATATGTGTATATATATACACGCATTATGTACGGATACGAGCGTAATTCTATACGTTACGCTCCGACCTTCTTCGAACGTATCAAAAGTGTGAAAAGCGTGAAACGCGAGTGTTACAGCTCGAAATCCGTCCGGATTTGAACTCTAGCCGAATACATACTTATACGCACTTACCTCGCGAGAAAGGGTAATCCGATATTTGTAATAAAATGCGACCGTTTCACCGTTCGGTTGTTCGTTTTTCGTTTCGTCGGGAAATTTCGCGCGTCGAATGGATGGATCGTCGAGTAATTCTCTCGAGACGACACACGTGACACCACACAGTGGTAGCCTGTCCAGTACTGACTCGATCCACTTTGCGTTTTGCTCGCGAGTGCGCATTGCGGCGCAGGACTAGCGTACGCGCATGCGCACCGAGCTTCTCCAAGTCGGATGCTCGATTCGCTGACCGCGTCAATTTCAAAGTAGCGAATACGCGACGGTGTAAAACCTTTTTCTTCGATTCACCGACACCACTTTTCCTCCACTGATCGCTGACTCTATGCCAATGATGTAAAACGAATGCTTTTCCTATTCTTTTAAATAGATTTGTTGATGTATTTTATATATCAAATATATCAAAATATGCAAATAAAATATACTTGATATGGAAATGTAATATGCGAATAGGTATAAATATAAATCGGTAAGAAACTTTTCTTACAAAATTTTCGTCTGATAATTACCTTCGTTTTACCTTATTTCATAAAAGTAACTAAAAATATGGTAAGCGTTCAAACAGCGCATAGTGGCTGAAAAGTGGCTGAAAAGTGGCTGAAAAGTGGTACAAATTATTTTGTCGAAATTAGGCGCGAGCGTTGTTTGTCTGGTCTGGTAAGTTCGCGCGAGTACCACTACTCCTACGCACAGGGACGGGCAAATTCTAGCGTCTTTGTAAAGTATCTACTACAAGCATTAATTATTGAACGAATGTGTTATTTAAATGCGTCGTTTAAGAGCATCGTAATTGTTTATTGGCTTCGTGCAAATTATAGGAAATAGATTTAGCTTGTTGGCTCTTACGGCGATGATGTCATCGATAAATAAAGTAAAACATCAAGCTTTATTTTAGCGTTGTAATTCTTTGGTAAAATACTTGTTTATTTTAACCTAATGTACCGTAATATAAGAAAGATTTTATAAGTTTTTAATAGTTATTAAATAGTTATGAAACGTGATAATAACTAAAATAAGGTTTTATAAGAAAGATTTCTTTTCATTTAGCCACGAATCTTCTCTATCTTCTATATCTCGTTTAAATAATTCCAACAGCGTTTGAGCGTAGGTGACCGTTTATTTCAAAATGTTAGAATTTGAATTTGTTGGAAACTGCCATATAATGTAAATGGCTGGCTGAAAAATTTCGTTAAAAATTTTTATAGGCGTAGCATTCGTGACTGTTAGATATAATTATATGTTATTACGCGTATGGAAAAATTGTTCGTGTAGCAATGTGTTTTCTTCGACGGAATACGTTCCTGTCTGTGCTCTGCGTATGTATTTTTTTTCTTTCGCCCACGGTGCCGCGCAGTCCCTAGTATCCACGTCTACCTTAAGAATCGTTATTTATGGTAATAACGTAGTACGAGAAACGCAACCGATACCGCTTTTATACGTATATACGTGTAACACGGAGAATTAGCTTACGATTGAATATTTCATAACGATATCGGCGCGATATCCAATTAATCCTTTGCTAGATATAATTTTTCTACTTGCTACCGTATACTAGACTAATTTATAAGTGAAATAATCATTTTGAGATGTTTAACTATAGTTTTCGTTTTATCGGAGAATTTAACAAGCACGTGAGAACGCGAAGAGAACAATTTTTTAATCCGTTGGAAAGAGAGAGTCGATTAATCGTAGCTTTGCTTTGACAGAACGGTTATTATTTCAATCGATAACCAAAGATCGAACAATGAAACGAGAGCGATCGAACGACTAATTTAACCACTTTAATAAGAGAAGTTGCGTTTAGGAGATATCGCAAACCTGTTTGCTTATTACTAATTTAATATTTGTTAGTTTGTCTCATTATCGGGTTTCATTGACCAATATTTGATATTATATCGGAGACGCAAGGTACTAGGATACCACATAATCACACTTTTCTCGTTATACGTTAATTAATAATTGCCAATCCTAAACCATAAACATACGTATATGTGTGTATCAAAGAATCGTTATAAAAGAATATTAATAATAGCGTGAGCAATCTTGTATCTTGAAATCGTTTAAGAATTATTCGAATGAGTATGTGTATATATAAATAGAAGAATGCGGGATAACAAGTCCATAGTGACGAAACAGAACGAACCTGTTGGTGATGTCATACTCATGATTCCTGTTTAACCGCTAAGGTAGAATCCGTATGATGTATGTTTGATATTGGTATCCGATTGTTCTTCAGTCCACGTATCTTTCAGAGACTAAACATCGATTAATTCCCCCATTAATTATCCAGATTTATCTCGGATAAATTATAATAAAATCATATATCTTCGAACGGTGTTACACCAAAGAACGAAAGTGTTAAGTAGCGTGGAAAAATTAAATCGAAATTTGCATTTACTTTTCATATTTTGGCACTGTAATATAATTAACATTATCATGTGTATGTAGTTTCCAACGTACCCAATATTCAAGATTATATGAAATTTTATCAAACTTTTTGCTAATTTAAAGCTAGTTCTTTTACAATACTTAGTATCTTTTAGTTTATATATATATATATATATATTGAGAATTATAAAATATGTTAAGAATATGTAAAAAATGTACAACGTACATACATACGTACATATTAAAATAATTAAAACGAGCGATGATTTTACTACGGGAACGTGATAAAGGAAGATTCCTTCATATTCTTTAGATGGTAAAGCTTTATCAACAGATTCGTTATTTTATTCTTAATAAAGTGCAAAAGTAAGTTTACAGAGTGTGCAGTGGTTTTCCCATAAAAAAAAGCATAAAATCGGCGATTCCGAATTTCTTCTGAAATTAGAAAAAAAGTATATCGACATATATTTGATCTTTATTCTGTTCCACGCATGTGTTAGTTCTTTGATTGCGATTGTCCAAGATATATTTTAAATAGAGTATCGCGCACGAGTGTATGTATTCTTATGTGGTAGTCAACGGTGATGGCCATCATTCTGTATCTTATATGCATACGTTTTAACTACCGATGAGTCAATACATCTAATATCAATGTATGTATAGTTCATCAGTTGTAGGAATAAAAGGAAGCGATAATATCAACACAATCGTGAAATAAAGTTTCGCAATTTTTTAATCGAATTTCTGTTATGTTGTACATGTAACGATGAATCTCATAAACTATTCAATGTGTCGATATTGGAAATATTAAATATATCTTATTATACTCTAAATACTATGATATCTCCAAAAATAATTTAAAACAATTTAAAACTATTTAAAACAATTTACAAAAATACAAGAACGTGTTTATTAACTTATTTCGATTAATTATCATCGCGAAACAATCTTCATCCTGCGATAAAATTTCTTTACTAGAAATTTTCATTTCTTTCCCGGAAACAAATCCAATCTTTTACCGATCAATATTTTATCACGTGATATTTTTAATATAGTCGCAACTGTATATGCAAATAAGATATCTGCAAAAACCAAATACATACGTACATACTCGCACACACACGATTAAAAAGTAAATAATTTTATAAATTTCATTGAAGCACTACTAATTTCTGAATCAATGCCCTTTCTCTCAGTCTTAAACGGATCTAAATTTCTAATACAGTTACGAGAGACAACCTGTCCTCTCTCTTGATACGTATGCGTCTTTCGCATTGCATGTCTGTGTTTGGCTCCTTGTTTGGTGTGGGTGTGACACGGAACACGGTTACAAGCGAATGAATATTGTGCACACGCGCAAAATAAGTACATATATGCATGTAGATAGTTTTCTCTGTTCAGGGCTCGCAATAAGGGTAGAAGCGTAGAGGGCGAACGCAGCGCTGGTGGAAGGTTGCTCTGAAAAGGGGGGAGCGTACCAGGGGCTGGAGGTGGAAAAGAAGGAACGATTGGTAAAGTTCTGTTGATACAAGTGCTAACACGGCATGACTGATAGTGTGCGTGTGTCTCTCCAGTAACTCTTACTCGCGAAGAGGAGAGCCTGGGCAAATATATGTAGCGACGTGTTAAGGAAAAGAGGGGAAAAAGGTGTGGTTGTCACTGTCACTATACTGTATAAACACATGCCACGATCAACGACCATTTCGATTTTGCGTGCATAATTCCAGCGGACGTCGCAATATGGCTGATCAGGTCGAAGCAAGCTGTGAATGTGTGTGCGTGCGTGCGTGCGTGCGTGTGTACATACTCGATGCTTACATATACGTACCCGTAGCGATCCCGAATTTATCGTTAACGATGTTATTTCATTTATGACAATGGCTCTTACTGAAAACCATCAAGCAATTGATTACTCGTTTACCCTCGTGATTCATTGGAATAAGATACTAAAATTAAGAGCAATAGGATACTGATACTAAAATCCTAATTTCTTTATAAGATGAAACCGTAGAAAGACTGACTATCCTCCAATATCGTATATATATCGATATATCGTAGAAATTAACATTTTAGACAACTTTTTCCTGTAAGTACAAATGCTGTACAGGCATGGTTTTCGAAATATTGGCGAAATACTGCCGGTACCACTACAGCGAACTGTCTCTGTAGTTGTGCGCCTATGACATCGTATACGTATAGCGGTATTGGCTGCGGCCGCCGTGCGGCGGCCGGATGAAATAGCTCCTAACTCGAATCTAATTCTTATATTTTGTTTATAGTTTACATAACTTTTTGAATCAGGTGTCACTTTATTCGGTTACCATGGGGTGACCGGCAACCAATATCAACGAATACATTGCCATAGACGCAAAACTATAAGCAGAGTACTCTGTAGCGGTATCGGTAGTTTTTCGCCAATATCTTGGAAACCAAGCGAGTTCAACCCTTATACGCATAGGAAATAGTTGTTTAAAATATCGATTTCCACAACATGTCCAAAAATTATGGAAATCATATTCTGTCTATAACGTTAGTCTGTCATATTTTGATGTGAAATTCTTTTAAGGGCTTTTGATTTAGTTCGACATTGATAATAAAATTTAATTTTAGATAGAAATTTTTAATTTTCATGATTGTTATTTCTATCCGATATATATATTTTTAAAGGCTCTTTATTTCGATGATTAATAATTCTTAATTTTGTTGGTTGTTACTTTTTGTTAATTAGAGAGCATTGATATATTGAAGAATACTTGATATTTCCCTCCCCCCTCCCCCTCCCCC